CCCCGCCCCCTGTCTCTGGCCCCGCCCCCAGATCACGGTGCTGTCGGCGATGACCGAGGAAGCCGCTGTCGCGATCAAAGCCATGGCCAAATAGGGCAGGTGGGCGGGGCCACGGGAAATGAGAGGAAAAGGGGCGGGGCTTGTGCAAAATAACGGGATGGGGTGTGGCCAAATAGGGCAGGTGGGCGGGGCCACGGGAAATTGGGGGAAGGGGCGGGGCTTATGCAAAACAACGGGATGGGGTGGGGCCACGGGAAATTGGGGGGGAAGGGGCGGGGCTTATGCAAAGTAACGGGATGGGGTGGGGCCAAATAGGGCAGGTGGGCGGGGCCACGGGAAATTGGGAGAAGGGGCGGGGCTTATGCAAAATAACGGGACGGGGGTGGGGCCAAATGAAGGTAAAGGGGAGGGGCCACAACAAATAAGGGAAAAGGGGTGGGGCTTATGCAAAATAAAGGAACAGGGGTGGGGCTGGGGCCAAATAAGGGAAAAGGGGTGGGGTCACACCCAAAAATGGGGGCGGAGCCAAAGAGGGTGGGGTCATGGTCCCATAGGGTGGAAAGGGGTGGAGTCAAACCGGGGGGTGTGGCCATTACCAAATACGGCAAAATGGGGGGGTGGGGTCCCATTTTGGGTCTGGGGGTCCCCGATTTGGGTCTGGGTGGATTTCTGGGTCCCCATTTCGGGTCTGGGGTCCCGTTTGGGGTCCCAGTTTGGGTCTGGGGGAATTTCTGGGGGTCCCATTTCGGGTCTGGGGTCCCGTTTTGGGGGTCCCCGATTTGGGTCTGGGGGGGTTTCTGGGTCCCATTTTGGGTCTGGGGTCCCGTTTCGGGTCCCCAATTTGGGTTTGGGGTCGTTTCCGGTCCCATTTTGGGTCTGGGGGGATTTCTGGGAATCCCAATTTGGGTTTCGGGTCCCCATTTTGGGTCTGGGGTCGTTTCCGGTCCCAGCCCCTCCCCCTCTCTCCCCAGGCCGGCACCGCCGGGGTCGGGCCCCGCCCCCCCCAACTGCAGCCGCGAGGGGGGAGGGGAGGGGGAGGGGC